AATATACTGTTATGGTTTTTAATAATACATTTTTTATTCGAAACATCAATGCTTTTTAATATTAATACCGCTATTGGACTTGTGTTTACTTTGCCTTTATCTATATGTATGTTATTATTTTATAAAATATGTCTAACGTTTAACAACATTATATTGAATATTTATCAAGAAATAAATATGAGATGATTTGAGTGCTTAATTTCTAGGTTCTAATATCCTTAATTCTGTTTTACAAAGTTCAAAAAAATTAAAAACTTTTTTTATCATTCTATTTTTTTTAACTTGTGTTGGTGTTATATAATTAGTTAATATTTAATACTTATTTAATGGTTATGGAATTTTGTTAATCTTCTAAAATTGTATTTAATTTATATACATTCAATTAACATGTTTATGGTTTTTGTTTTAGAAATCAAGTTTTGGAAAATTTGATCAGCTGGAAAAAAAAATTATCCTTCAACAAAGATCTCCTACAGAATCTGAAAAAATCGATACTAAACAAGTAATTAACCTTACTAAAACGCATATATGTATATATATTTGAAATAATAAACTATACATTTATTATATTAATTGATAGAATGGTGTTTTACGTCAGGAAGTTAATTCTATATGTAAGTCATGTGAAAAGACTGTGTATGCTATGGAACAAATAAAAGCGGAACGTCAGGTTTGGCACAAGAACTGTTTCCGGTGCACAACATGCAATAAACAGTTGACGTAAACTAAAATRTTTTAATTATATTTTATTAATTGAAGAAAAGTTGATAATTTGTGGCTTTTGATTTCAGGCTCGATATTTATAGTAGCCACGAAGGTATATTGTATTGTAAACCACATTTCAAGGAGTTATTTAAGCCAAAAGTAGTAGTTGAGGACGAAGAACCAAGTAAGTTGTCAATATACTGTTATATTTCTTTAAAACGAATATATAGATAGATCGTGATTATGCTATTGTGGTATATAATAATTTTATGATAATTTTAAGTAAATAATAATATACTTACTTTAAAATATACTTTACAACATTTTCCCGTATAAATCCAATTTAAAAATAATTACAASTGTTTGTATTATGATTTTTTCTATAAAATGTTCGAACTGCTATCATCATAGTTAGACGCAAGAAACCAGAAATGATAATACGTGAAAATCAGCCCTTGGAATTACCACCAGACGTGGTTAGAGGTATATAATAAAATTGGACAGTTTAAAGTATTATAAAGTTTAAACCCATCATAACGTGTGTGGTGTGTGTTGTCTTTATATGGTTTCTCGTATTTGTTTCTGTTTGTTTTTTTTAGATTTTAAAATTCCTCTAATATTTAGTCGACCCCCGATGTATACAAAACATTTTAATTACGTTTGAATGTTAAAAAAAACTTAGCTATACTAACCTCAATACCATAATTCTCATATTTACGTTAATAATAATACTGGTTTATATTGCTTATTTTTAACGTGATCAATCTATATCTCAGGAAATATGTAAAATATATTTAGTCTTGAAACCCTAAACTACAATTATACTATATGTTTTCATTATAAATATTTAATACCAGCTATGCCTTCATATTTTTTTTCATCGTATTTATACAAAATAACTTGTAAAATGTATGTAAAAGAATATTAAAAACCAAAAATTGATTCTGATTTAACATTTATGATAACGAGATAAATAATATCGATAATTGGGTAACCTGATGTTAAAAGGTAAAACACAAGAGAAAATATACAAATATATTCCAAGATATAGACTGATTCACATAAGAAAAATCACAATGTATATGTTATAAGACAATCAATTTGTTTCCAATTTATTAAAATATTGAATTTGCAAATTTATCTTGATWTAGAAAATAATGAAATCTAATAGTTTTAAAGACGTAGTAATCAATTTTTTATATTTTAGCAAGYGATAAGCCGGATTTGGGTTTAGAAGAATTGAGTTCTTTAAACGTGAAATCTCGTTTTCAAGCTTTTGAAAACGCCACCACTAATGGTAATAGCCACATGGAAAAATCGCCAGTCAGTGTTAAACGTTCACCAAGTATACTGAGTAAATTAGCTAAGTATGTATTTTCATTTGGCTCTTATTAGAGGACACTTCTMCGCATTTGTTATCKCCGTTTTTAAAATGCGTAATATGGCAAATTTATTCTTAGAAATTCACGTTTAGTTTCATTGGTTTAAACATATAGTGGATCAACTTGTTATTAAATTTAATAAATACTATTTGACTAAGAACATTATCTGTGTTCGTTGGTCGATATTATACGATAATTCAGTTTTTAAACGGGTTATAATCATTTTTAAATGGCGTTATTTTATAATGTATACAAAACTTTAAAAAAATTGAATTATTGTWAAACCGACATACGAAAACAGATTATGTTCTCGCTATTAAGTTTCATAAKGTGAATTGTCAATTCRTTCTAATTTTTAAAATTATAAAACTAAATTGTTGTGCRTAAATTTTTTATGTTATACACTTGTAAGACGGAGGCRACAAATGCGTAAATGCGGGTGTAAGTGTAGCATTCTCTTAATTAAAAATACATATTTTATTTCTCATGTAACAATTATTATTTTCCAAATAGATTTCAGTCTAAAGGAATGGATGTRGGAGTTGCAAATGATGATTTAAATGGAGCATTCTTTGAGCCCTCGTCAAGCAGTGACACGGAAGATGAAGATCCCGGAAATGATATCTTAAAAAATAGTATTTCTAAAGAAAAACCAATGAGTTTTGATAAAATGGAGTCCGTTAAACGTAACTGGGAAATGCGCCGAGAAGAAATGAAAGAGGAACATAAACAAGAAATACAAAACATAAGGTCTAAATTATTTGCGGTTAGTCAAAAAATTCATTGTAACAAAATATATC